AACAGTCAGACTGAGGACAGTAGTACCTATCACCCAAAGCTCGACAGGCAACACCAATAATAATTATAGTTCGTTTTATTTTCAGTCGCGTGACAGCACGCGTGTTCCAATATCTGAATCACTATAGAATTCACAACAATTATTTTTAAAATCGGGATATTTTGGATGAACTTATATAGGTATATATTTTAGATTATTGCTGATTTGACTGATATAAATCATTTAAATCCAAAAACGACTTTTGTTACGAATAACAACAAATTGTGAAAGCGCGTAAGCGGAATTTTTGATGCTGGTCTTAAAGGCGACAAAACCAATCAGTTTTAATGATTAACTCCCACTTAAGACACGTATCACAGATGCCGAGGGCGCATTTTGAGGGCAGTTAGTGAGAGTTCGTCAGAGCATCGTCTCCACCTTGGTAGTGACAGTGCTCCTTTGAGGGGTCTGTGGGCGAGCAGTACATCCCAAACTGTACAGCTAGGGCGATTTCAGATAACTCGACAACGTCACCAGGAGACCGTGCGCCGAAGACGACGCCGTGAGTTGAAACCGCTGGTCGATAAGGAGTTGGCTAGGGGGTGAAGATCCCCCGGTGAGTGAATCCATTCTCAATATTAGCGACAGATAAGTCAGCTGTGTCTGTTTTCATATTCATTACTGGGGCCGAATTGTCGCGCGGCCGGACCTGTAATAGAGCGTCACATGTAGGGGTGAGTGAATCTGTAGTTTGCAATTGGCTATAGCCGTTTGACCGTCATTGATAATGAATATTTGCTGATAATAATTTGCGCTAAACCGCTATCTCACCAGGAATCGTCTTACAAGTGATATCAAACCACCTTAAATGTGTTGTGCCAAATGTAGATATACCTAGCTACCTAGATTTAAAAAAGGTTCTAATTATGGTTTTAGCCAAGAATTTTGCGTTAGCGAATATTATACTAATAATTATTGAGCTTTACACCATTACAAATAGTGATGAGATATGTGGTAGACACTATTTCCTTGTGCAACTTTTCCTACTGATAGGAATCTGTTTCCTTGTTGGCATTTTTTACTAACCAAAGCAGAAGTCGAGTTAGGTATAAATATGCACTGACGAAGTTTACAAAAACAAGCTAAATATAGAAAACGATCCAAAAACAGATTTAAATAATAAAATATGGTACAATGAACCCAAACCAGAATGCACGAGAACTACCTACGAAAGCAACTAAAATTAGTGTATAAATGTATTAACCCACAGACGCGATTCATCTCATCACGCACAAATGGTTGCAGAGGAAAGGGCGACAAACCGTTACACAACCGTTGTGCACTTTCTAGCCGAATTTTTCCTCGTATTTTCCTGCAAATTTTAAGGTTGAGGTCATCGAGGAGCGGTGCGTGATGGATTTCAGCTCCATTGACACGGATAATGCGGCAAGCGAGTGTTTTTCTGGAGCTTCTTCTGCATTGTGTCTGAATCGGCGAGGATTGAAAGTGGACGCTCGAGAAAATGTAGGTCGATAAGAAGATCGAACCTTGTGCTAAAAACCGGCGCTGGTTTACCTCTTAGGACGGATTTGGTGAGCGATTAGCGTGTTCGTGTGTTTTACGAGGTGATAATTCGAAGAGCAAAATGGGAAAATTAGAGGTGTGTGGGGAGTGATGATGTAGGAAACCGTTAATAAAAAATACACAAAAGGAGTTGGACGATATTTTAACTCGTGGGTCAAAAGTTCCAAATTGATGTAATTTAAGTGTTCATTAGAAAAAAAAAAACTCCAATTTTACATTCAAATTGTCTTTCTCCTAATAAACAGTATATTGGTTCTGTTTGTTAATTAGACTCGACAAATTGCAAAATAATGTAACACACTTTTGTATTCCCACTTTTCATCTTCTCTTATGATGTTCATTGCTGCACCATAGGACACACTTTTTATTCAGGTAATATTTATTTCCGCGTTTTGAATAAAAGAACGTCCTCAATTTTTCAGATAGGAAAATAAATCGTTTTTGTGAAAAAAACTAAACACCTACTATTTTAAAATATTAGTCACTAAAAACTTCAAGCGGTAAGAACTGGTTATTCTTATTATTCGACATACAACGTGCTAAATATTGCGTTTATTTGCTGTTCTGATTAACATTTTACCTCATTTACGGAAAACCAAATTTCAAAATAGTTGATTCCTTAATTTGGAACACAGAATGTATAAACGGAAATAAAAAATTATATCGAAGAATGTTTTTCACTTTACTCTTACTACTACTTATTTATATTTTATGTTTACATTTTAAACCCATTATTTATAGAAACGTGCTTATTTGTCGACTTAATTAATTTATACCAAACAATGCAATTTTGATTGGATCACTAGATAGACATTATTCATATTAAATTGGTTTCCAAATAAAACTCGATTTATCTAGTGCATTCATAGTATAATAAAGAGATCAAGATCTCTAATGCAATACTGATTAACTCATTCACATTTTATCAGCTTGCTCTTATCTAGTGCAGGAATCAACGTATCCAGAGTTGCGACATTATGTTTACAAACACTATTACTCCATCTTTTTTTATTATTTATGTAGCTTTGTCATACCTGCTGTTTTATTTTCGTTGTTATTTTTTTTTTCGCTAAGCAATATCTCCACAGTTCTCTATATCTTTTTTTCAAAATGTTTAAATATTTTATCTTGTATATTTTTATCATCGTTGAAGTGTCTACAGACAGATTCTTTTGTATTATTAATGATATCACTAGTGAACCAAATTAGAGATTTGGAAGAGCTGACAAAGGCTTTTGGCACCTTGTACAACTTATGACAAAAGTCCACAGCTTGACTGGCTAATTTGGCACATTTTGTTATTTTTGTTTTCTTGTAAACAATTTGATTTAGCCGCAAGATTTTATTTTAGCCTGTAGCTGATGGCAGGAAATAAAACCCGAGTTATTGTAAGAAATTTCCGCCGATTCAGTCAACCATCTCTCCTTTCATTTATTCTCTAAAAGGTTACAATAGAATTCATGGGCTTTGGAAAATTTAGACCACCGGTATTTTGATAAAATGCATTATAGAATTAACTCTATAAATATTGATTTCATGCGGTTTTTCATTTTCAAAATGCTATTTCATAATATTTTGCTATTCCATTTAGGTATTTAAATTTAATATCGTGTTCACCATAATTTTTTCTCGACTTACATTTTTTCTAAGTTCTTGAATTGACGTTTTCCCGTTAAATATATACAAATAACTTTTTTGTCAGTTTTGACTTTTCGGAATACACTACGGACTTCTTTAAGAGTTCAAAGAATTGCTCGAACAAGTCTTTTTTATTATTATTGTCCAATTCGATAATATTCGACGTTCAATGATTCGTTTACTCCAGTTGGAAAAATTTGTGTCTTCTGTTTGTGTTAATCCAGACATCTTAAAAGCTATCAAGTTTGAGGACGATTCTCAAATTTTCCGAACAATTAAGTATTCTTCGTTATCACAGAGTTTTCCGTTACCTTTAACTGTTACAGATTCTGGTTGAGTTTTGTTTACTGGTATTTGTTAAAAGTTGTAATTTTTCTACTGACTGATCCTGAACTTTAAATTTTATTCAAGACTGACAACAGTCCAACGTATTGCAAACACGTTTGTTTATAGACTGGTAAATACTTAGTTTCGGCGATTTCTATTTTGATGTTTTTTGTATATTCCTTAACTGTATGCATGCCCTTCATTCTTCTAAACCAATAAAATTATCTATATTGAATTGAACTTATTTAATACTTTCTGTCCAATAGTAATAATAATTGTATCATACATGACTCCTTCTTTTCACATTTTATTATAAATTAATCGTTTCCATTGAAAATAAAAGTGGATCTTTTTTGTTAAGTGGAGATACTAAACTGAAACAGTTTAATTATTATTTATGGAATCATACTTCGAAAATATTAATCTTCTCAACAAAGAGCAAAGAGTTGGTACTTTTTAAAAGACACAGATTAGCTTGTTTTAAAATCCACAACTTGCCAATTAATGTTGCTAAGGCACCTAACAATTTAATCTCTCGCTCAGTTGTCATGTTATGGAGGCGTATAAAAACAAGGCTAAACACATACAATGTTGAATAAACAATAAAATTTGCTGTATCATCTTTGAATCTTCATTATAACAGAACACGACGAAATACATTACAACTTTGAACTTTAGCCGGTTCTGAAAGAAACAAAATCTAATTTGCCCCTCGCTTCAATGAAAATTCTACAGTTTTATCAGGTTTACTTTCCAGGTAAACAGCAGTGTTGGAGAACTTGTAAATCTGTAGCTGTATCTGGCATTTGTTAGATCTATTGCTTAAAATCGATTGTCATTATAAGTTTGTGAAAAGTGATAACCTTCCGACTTTCTCTTCCAAATTTTGTATGCAAGAATAACTGAAATGACTTAGTTTTCATCCTTACGTGTGCATAATTGTATAGTTTTTTCTTTAAAGTGAAATTTTTCCATTATTCAAACTTATTCCCAAGTCGTTTTTGAGGGTTTCTCTTTTACTTTAAAATACGTTTTCATTTCTTTTTTCAGACCTTCAGTTTACCTTCTTTTCGTTTTTTGCATGCTTTATACATTGAATTAGATTCTCACAACTTCACAGCGCTGGTTCACACAACTGAAGTTTAGACCTTGAACCCTCGCAACATCTCTGCTCGACAGCCGTTATAATAAATAGCACTGCTAACTTCATTTCCAACATGAATGAAACGGAATCCTGAGTGGATTTGAAATGCTTTGCTGTATTTTTGTTCCTTTTATAATACTACTCGTCTTGTAATGGTTGTAATGTTCGCAGAGATTAGATTGGAATTTTGATTGGAGAGAAGAGCGAGCGTGTGAGGTCTACAAGCATTTGCACGTGAGAAATATACATGGTGGTCTATACACTCGTTCCATTGTTCCGTTGAAAGTAAGTTCACTTTTACAACCAACAACCCTTAAACAAACATCCCTCAGTTTATACTCTTTATTGCGATTATATACATGTCTATGTCGACTATAATATATACACACTAATTAAAAATATACAAACAAACAACAAAAAAAGATCAGTACTATAGGGCTTTTCAGACAACCTGCACCGTCGTGTAGGCGCTAAAAGTAACCTTTTTCTCATTTTTCTTCCTCCCTTCTTCTTTTTTAATCACGCTCTTCAAATTTCCCTCCTTGTAGCTCAAATCCCCACCACTGTTCCACCGACACTCCCTCCCCTCCCCGAAATCCTTCAGCTTTGAGGAGAGCCCAAATAGTCGCTCTCCCATTGGCGAATACGAGGGTGCCGTGTCTATATACCGATACGCCATTGGCGTAAAACACCTAGTCTCGCTCCTACTCCTATGTTTCTTGAGTAGCCGTGGCACAGAATTCGTCCATGCCTCCGATTTCACCGGCTTGGGGATAAACAGCGTTGCCAAATTCGCCTTGGGCTTCTTCTCCTTCAACTGACTCTTCGCAATAAAATCCTTATTGATAGCATCCGTGTTAACATTCACTCGCACGTACTCTCCTCGCATCACGTCAGCCGAAGGCGGCGACCCAGGCGGAGCTTGTTGCGGAGGAGGCGGAGCCTTCCCCTTCACTTTCTTCTTTCGATCCGGCCGTTTCGGCGTCGCCAGCAGATCATCAGCCGATGACCACACCTTCCGTAGCGGCGATTGGTTCCTGACTAGCACGGGCGGAGCCAATTTCGCCAGCTCTGGCTCCCTCGTAATCTCTATGTGCGTCACCCCGTTGTTGTCCGTCCTCTGTAACAAATTGAATTTCCCGCCACTTTTGTTGTACGCCTTCTGATTGGTCACCGCTTTCAGCGCCGTGAAGTTCAAATAGAAGTTCTTCAAGTTGTTCAACTCGTCGAATCTGAAGACGAGAGCTTCGCCCTTTATGACGAATAAGAGGACGTCTGGGTAAGTAACGTCGTTATAGCAGACGCAGTCGACTAGATTGTACGATTCAGCGACAGTTCGGGCGGGTTCGGGCGTCTCCGTGTCGCTGTCGGAACTCGCCGAGCCGTTGGCGCTGTCAGTTTCGGCCGTTTTCGTTTCGTAGCTGCCATTAGAGACGATGGAGAGGCTGTCGATGTCGGATTCGAAGCCCTCATCGGGGGTTTCCGGCTTTAGCGGCGTGAATGAAAAGTGGGTGGGGCTTAACTGCAGGTCGTAGGACGGGTGGGGCGGAGGGAGGTGCTGCGAACGCGAGACGAGGGTGGCGAGCGACGAGGGCGTGGCTTCACGGAGGAGTAGGGCGGCGAGGGGCATCTTGCGATGGCATTATCTGAAATAAGAAGAAAAAACTCACTATTGTATGTAATTAACGTAATAATACATCTAATAATATTATTATATATTCTTGTATTGAACATCTTGACAATAATCATAACGTATGAGTAAACTTTTTTTTTTGGTTCTGTAGTTTTGAACACCATCTATTTGATACACTTTCACAAAAAATGTACAATTAGACATATGTACATCAAAATTTTGTTTTGAGTTAGTCTCCTTAGGTCCTTAGGTATCGTTCAGGAAACTAAATCTGGGAAAAACACACAGGTGGGTGATTACTCTGTCATCGCAAAAATTCCAACCCGCTAATCACGCACCTCGTAAAAGCGAAAGCCTTAATTCAATTAGTTCAAGCTGACTTAACTCCCTGATTATGCAAATAATCCGAGCCAATTATCCAAATAATTGCACCGGAAGACTTGCACATATCAAAGTCAATGCTTGCATGTTCACTTCCCTACGACTAGCGAAACTATTAAATAACGCCGCACAAAGCACGCGAAGATTGTTCTTCAGCGGAAGTGTTCGCGAGATTAACATTCAAAGCGCGCTTTCATTCATCTTTTCGTTCGCGACAAGACCGTCGAACAACCAGAGGAAGAGAATGCGGTCGCACGGATCGGCACATCGCCCTGGCGCAAAAATTATGTGCTGTATACAACATAAAACTTGCATTTTTTAGGAAAAAATTGTAGTTGTTGCAGTGAAAATCATACAAGCCGCCGGAGGAGACGAGTATTTTCCAAAATCAACTGCTGTGAGTTGGGTGTTCAAAAAGTTAGTTCGCAAGTGATTTTTGGCTTAACAACCTAACCAAAGGATTGTTTTTGATTTTTGTAACCATGAACTCTGAAAAAATTTGGGAGTACCAAAATCCGAAAAGGAAGATAATATTTATAGAATTGCTCCAGAGAGTTCTTTATTTTCGAAATTAGAAATTTAACAGCTCATTATTTATTAACATTATCGTAAATGACACATTTTCACGATTGTTAAAGGATTCCTTCCTTCAGGTTCTGTCCTTTCTAACCATTTTTACTGTTTTTTAAGTTTGTTATTTATGCAAGTTTTGTCTGTCGTCATAAAGGTCAAGTTCATATACATATATTAATTTCTTATATTTCATGGAAAATACAGTGTTTTCTTTTGATGATGTCGAGAAGAATAGTTTATACGTTTCTGTAAAAGTTGCCATTTTTGCTTCGGTACTTTGTTTACACTTCAAGTGAGATTCTCCTCTCCATTGATGTGCAATTTATTGTACTAGTTCAATGCCATTTTTCGTAGGCGTTCGTAAAAAGTAGATAGGCTAATACACGTACACCTGTTGTTTTAACATTAAGAAATTTTGTCAGTGAAAAACTCAAGTGGTACTTGAAAATGCGCGATTTGATTAGCTTTTTGAGTTATACTCTTTCGTCCTTGTGAGTAATTTCCTTTAAACGGATAACCGATGGTCCCAATACATGCACTAATTTACAAAACTGCATTCTTTAAACCAGCTTTGCATTTCCAATTTTTTTCTTTGATTGCAGTTGTACACACAATAATATTATTTCCAGTGTCTTGTAGTGTTTTTTCTGTCTATTGAAAAAATCTGTTCACCTTGATTTCTAATCGCCAAACTATACTATAGCTGGGTCTACTCATATTAACGAACTTGGCCTGGAATTTACACCACATCGCAACAATTAGGAAAGAGTCCTTATGGTATTCAATTTATTCTGAGACTTATGGTATTCAATTTATTCTGAGACTTAATCTTCTAAATCCATTGTTATGCATCTTCATAACGTACGCACTCATCACGCGTAGAACTTAAATCTGTGATAAAAAACCCATCCACTCTTTTGATCTCTGTTTTGGTTCTTTCATCTGATTGACAATATGCTCTTCCATCCTCGGTATCATAATCATCAATTAATTTATTCTGTCCACGTGTGTTTCAGTATGGACTTTAGACGGGATAAAACGTTTCAGATGCTCTTAAAAAATCTCTTGTAATGTAAGGTTCCGAACAATCATGTACACTCTCCCATTTTCAATTACTAACAGAAATTTTCTATAAATCTTCTGTTTCTTCGACAAAATACTAAAGGTCGTAGTTGAAGATCCCTCTGACAGTATCCGTTCCTCTAGATGTTAACTCACTTTAGTCAAGTTTTTTGCGTTGTCTTTCCATCAAATTTGTGTACAGATCACAGTAACATATTTGTCAAATATAATGTTTCAGAACTTTCTAGATAATTCAGAACTGGTTATTCCTATTACCACTTCTTTAATGTTTTAATATTTTTTCTCAAATATACAGTTTCAAGTATTCTTATACTAACTCTTCTATCGACTAAACACTATCCCTTATATCTGTGATCGTTCTCAAATAGTCATTTTCAATTCTTCGAATGTTCTATAATTTTATAAGATTCCATCTTGTCAACCCTGTCTTGATAATAATCAGTCGGTTTGCTCCGAATGAAATACATATACTAAAGCTTTACCTAAACTTTATGGATTTTTTTTAACATTTCCTTATTAAAGCCAAAATTTGTTCTGAAACTGTAATCATTCCAAACTCATATTTACAAATTTTATCATCAAATTTGGTTGTGATAACGAGTCCCATAGATATTATATGCCCCTTATATTAGTGAAGCTATATTTAAACAAGAATTGTAAGTTTTGTCGGGATTTAAAACAAAAATTTATTTTGATTTTCACAAATTCCTTCAGGTTCCAAAATCACATTAACAAATTGTGTCGTCAAGCTAGGCAATGGTTTTACGTCATGTAGATATTATGTCCCCACTAATGAAACTATATTTAAAAAGGTATCATCGTCAGTATTTTTAAAATAACAAAATTTTACATTGCTTTTCAAAAAACGGTTTTTTCGACAAATCTTAAAGCATGTATACTAATTAGATAAAATCGTCAAAAAGAACTTCAACACGCTAAGGTAAATATTAAAGCAACAATTGACCATAAAACAGATAATCTGAACTTCTAAGATAAAACCAAAAAAAGTTACTGAAAAATGTGCACCACAATTACAATAACATGACATAATGTCTAAAAAACAGATTTCCTGAGAAGATGTTTCTTTATGTTATAGATACTCGTATGAACTGCAGTATTCACTTTCGATTCACAGCAAACTTTCGTGGCTGTGAATTTTAAGTAGTGTTTTATGTTCCTTATATAATGTACTATTATTTCCTATGAAAAGTGGCAAACAATTATAATTTTAATATTCACAGGCAGAGGAATGAAAAACTTTATATAAAAAAAGTAGTTGTGATGACAGTGCATTTTAGTGCAACCAAAATGTTTGCTTTTAAATTTATTTAAAATAGCACTCAAGTACAGAGAAGTTTAAGGCGTCAAAATTTAGAAACCAATATATTAATTTATAGCAAAAATAGTACATTAATTTAAATATAATAACTACAAATGTTTTAACTAAAATTACTAATGGATTAAACTGTTAAGTATGTTAAACAATTTTGAATCAATGTATATTATGTTTTGCAAAACAAAGTAAATGTCAATATCGACGTTAATGAAGTCATTTTTAAAAATGAAAAATCTAACCTAATCTAATGTAATCTTGGATTAGATAGTATGGTATCCCCTGAAATTGTAGTGTTACATAAAGCATAGCGAATATGTTTTTTTGTACTAATCTAATTATTATCCCCGCGACACCGCAAGAGTACTTTTGTGGGGATTAAGATCGGCAGCAGGCTTGGAGCTTATTAAAGACAAATAACATGATTGTATAAGGTGATTAGCTCTGTTCCAAATATTTCTAGAAATACTATAGCCTCACAAACATATACGTTTATCACGGGGATTACATAACGGACTTTTCAGAACCTTGACGCTGATTTAAAAATTAGTCTAAATTTATTTATTCCCTACTTTCTAGTTGTGCCTTGATGTTTTTTGTCTAGAATGCTCACCGAGACACCTAAAAAAATCTGGCAACACAACAATTTGTATACATAAGTAACTCTAACGAGTAAAAAATGATGACGTCATCTTAAAAACTTCTCATTATGCCTTCTTTCACATACATATTCTATACATGCCACTCTGCACGCGGAAATATTGACACGGTAAATGCAAGGTTAAATTCGGTATAGATAACTCCACTGATTATTTTATGTAACATGCTTCAGATTCAAGAGAGTTCGATAATATTTAAAATCCTTGAAAACTGTAAGAATACAGTTTGTCTGTATTTTAGTTTTCATTTTTTACAAAAGTATTTATCACTGATTGGGGTACATCGTTAAAATTTTCTTCTACGTCGCTTGATTTTAGTTCATACAATAAAAATATTTACCAATAGTAATAGTTTTAGGTAAATTCACAAAAATAAAAGAATAAAAAAAAATTACTGTTTTTTAAATTTTGTTCTTTTTTTTTTAATCTGCACATTACACCCATTTTCAGAAAATTTTTTGATGCCGAAACAAACGACGACGCTTGTGGGTCACATGGCATCGTGGGTATCTGGATGTCATCTAATAATATGATAGCAGCCACTGTGTCGGAGCCGCTCCGGTAAACCCGACCAGGAAGTAGGCTGAGACAATGCACAGCCGACTTTTACGCGGTTTGGAAAAAGAGCGGTTTTTGCGTGGCGCTGGTGCGCGAAAACGACGAATTTTGGGTTTCCAAGAGGTCCCAAACTCGACCAGAAATTGGAAATTGTGATCACGGATCAGAACAAAAAATCTTTGTTTCGGTGGAGTTTTCAGTTTTAACGTTGTCTAAGCAGTTTCTACGACAAAAAATGTTGTAATTAAATGCCCAAGACATGTGAGCGCAATTTTTGCCGACAATTTGGCAGAACTATGAACATCAGGATTTTGGTGGGACTTGAATTTGTCGGTTACTACTTTCACAATAACTTCGAAGAAATAGCGAGAAGAGCACTCTAGAAAAGAGGAAGAAAAGAAACAGGAACATTCTAGAAGGAGCAAT